TTTTTAAATGTGCACCTAAAATGCACTAAACACATCTTAGACAGTGTTCGCGTTTACTGAGTAAACATATCAATTTACTCGCTAAAATTGCCAGGGAGGAAAGAAAAAAGGGCCGTTAAGTCCCTGGGACGAAACACTTTCCCCCGATAATTGGTTAATTCTCTCTTTATTGCTCTGACTGACTTGAGCATCCGCAGGCAAAATTTCTGAATTTTAATAACCTTCCAATTCTGACTGCAAAAACGCAGAAATTTTGATAAAGCCTTCACAAACTTAACTTGATAGATAACAACACAATATATATAGTTCTGCTAATTATAAAAGTCTTTTAAACTACCAACCTGCATGCACAGGAGCTACATACTTACCTTCCTTCCTATTTGTATCATCAAATAAAATTATCTACTAATTCTTTTAAAAGTCAAATTAAATCACTTCCGTCCGAGAAACAAGTATTTTTATGTGTGTATTTCGGTAATATAAGAAGGTGATTTCGGTAGATCATCACAAGGTTGCAGTCTGGATTACCTGCCCTTTTCTACTTGGGAACCAGACTTTTTGTCACTGACATTTAAAAACAGAATCACTGGAAAAAGTGACTTCTCTTATAAGGCAAAAAATAGAGGTATACAAATGTTAGCTTGTATCGATATTTAAAAATGTATATCGATATTGTATCGGATGATGGATATCGATGATATATCGATACTGCGATAATCAATGACAGCTCTACCTTGGAGGTATTTTAAGGTCCTTTGTGCCTCCTAAGTAGTCCTTTGTGCCCCCATAGCAGTCTATAGCGGTCCTAAGAATCACCTCATCCAAAGCATAAATTCTATCAGGAAAATTATATCTTTTCTTATAATATATATACATTTTTTTGTCACTGAACATACTGAAATATATTATAAGAATGCCCTAGGAGATATCTTAAGGTCCTTTGTGCCTCTTAGTAGTTTTCTTGTGCCTCTCAGCAGTCCTTAAAGTAGCGGTCCTGCAACTCATCAAAATCATAAATTCTATCACCAAAATTATATTTTTTCTTAAAATAATACATTTTTCACTACTAAACAAAGTAAAATATGTTATAAGAATGCCCTAGGAGGAGGTATTTTACTGTCCTTTGTGCCTCCCTAGCAGTCCTTTGTGCCTCTCAACAGTCCTTAGCGGTCCTGCAACTCATCAAAATCATAAATTCTACCACCAAAAATTATATTTTTTCTTACAATAATACATTTTTATCACTATAGATACTGAAATATATCATAAGAATGCCCTATAAGGTATTTTAAGGTCCTTTGTGCCATCCTAGCAGTCCTTTGTGCCTCTTAGCGGTCCTGCAACTCATCAAAAGTATAAATTCTATCACCAAAATTTGTTTTTTTTCTTAAAATAATACATTTTTTATTTCTAAACTTATTGAAATATGTTATAAAAATACCCTAGGATGTATTTTAAGGTCCTTTGTGCCTCCTTAGCAGTCCTTAGCGATCCTTAGCAGTCTTTAGCAGTGTTTAGCAGGACCCGAAATTAACTTGTAAAAGCGTTAATAAATAAGTCGTGACTAATTTAGTTTGTAAAAATTTGCTATTACATTATTATATCTGCAAATTGAAAAATAATTAAATGAAAAAAGATATAGACAAAAGGATACACATTTATGAGGGTTATCTCCCTTCTTATTCAAAAACTGTATCGCATTACTGACATCATAGAAAATAGCACGGATTTATATCATTACATATTGTAATATAAATACGTGAAAATAGGTAGTAAGATATTATCTATCTTCTATTGAATCAAATCCAGACTTTGCGTGTCACTATAGTAAGACACAGGCATATATACAATATCTATATATTAATCTGAATGAGTATGACGAATTAAACATGTATAAAAGCAGAATAAAAGTTTTAAAAGATAAAAACAGTTGTGTCTAGGTTGAGACATGTTCAATCTGGCTTACAGTCTTACTGAATATGGGACCAGACATTGTGACAAGGTCTCGGGTAAAGCATTCCAGTGGAAAATTATCCTAGGAAAATAAGAATATATGTGATAGTCAGTTCTAGTGTTGAGAATTCAGTACCGCTCAAACCGGTGCTAGGGGGCGTGAGGGATGTTGCACTTATTCATTATCCCTCATGTACAGACTCAATCAAACCGAGACTGCAATTTTCAGTAATTTTGTTGTGATTAATGCTTCCGAGGATCACTTTGTTTCCAGATTTTTACACTTCACAACAACAGGTATCAAGTGCCGTGTGACAGCTGTAAAAAGCCTTTCTCAGAGATTTGGTTGTCATTAATTAGTTGGTGGAGGCTATAGTTTTGGTATTGGAGTATCTCTTTACCCGTATCTGCCGTATCCTTGATTTTCATACTAGCTAATGATTTGCGAGAAAGAGGAGACTTTAATGCAAAGACTGATTAAAATTGGTGGTTTATAAGTGTGTCTTTGTCTGCAGTGTAAGGTTTATATTTGTGTTTCATTATATCTATTCCATTTGAGTCTTGTCGGGAGTTCTTGAGTAATGTGTACAGTTTTTTTAATATTTAGTTTATGTTGAGATTGTTCAGTTAAGGGCCTGTCGGCGTTCACATCGAAAATATATTCAAGGTAATCAAGGTATGCTAATCTTGTTTCCTTTTAAATAGATGCTTTAAACAGAGATAATATACTTTTGATTGTTTATTTGCGTTATATTTCTTATTAGATTTTTCCCGCCTTCTGTAGAGTATTTTCAATTTTACCTTTATCCATGGGATTTTATTTTTACGGGATAAACTTATCTATTCCCTTTTTCTAATGAGCTGCTAATGGTTTCACAACGTTCCCGTATATAATTATTTCCATATGAGTTTGACCTTATAAAATATTATGCAAATCTGTAATGTGTGACCTGAGTAATGTGTGACCTGAGACCATCCAGTTTGCCTTCTTGTAGATGTGGATTTTCCTCGATAATTGGGTCTTTTGGCAGACACAATTGACTGTTCCAGTACAGCATCTTAATCGCTGATACCTTGAATTACACTAGAACGTGTTGCAATTGACGAATTGCTTGTCATAAACAGGTCTAGAATGTTATTTTCGCGGGTTGGCTCTTGTACTACTTGGGCGAGATTTTAATCATAAAGAATGTTAATGAATTATCTGTAGTATGAATAGTGTTTACAGTCTTGGGCTGGGACTTTGTTTGACGAGTCCATTTTTTGGTATATAAAGACCCCCTACCCAGATATTTGCATTGTTTTTGATGCCATGGAGAGTGATTTGTTGAATTCTTTAACGCTTCGGGGATCACATTCTTTGGGTTAATAGTAGGTGCAGACAAGGAGGTGTTTAGATCCTACCAGTTGAATTTTAATCCACAGATATTCACAGTCTGTGTTTAATATAAAATGTAGTATGTCTGTCATATGTTTTCAATCTGCTCTCCTAGGAGATGCTTCACTTTCCGTTATCTTTCTTGATCATATTCAATAACATTTGATATTCACCTATTTTTCTTTGTTTTCATTGCCCTTTGGCGACCCTCCCCCTTTTCCAAAACGTTCACATTTTTTGACACTAAATTAATCAGACAAAATTCCACTGTAAAGCATGAAACTGACTGGTCTCCTGTAAATAAGTTTAGAATATCCCTTGACCTTTGGTCCCACCATTGAAAAGGTACAACGGTTTTTAAAAATGTAATTATAATTTACGGTAATGAAGCCTTTTCTAAATCACTGAAAATAAAATTCCGATATATCGGTCTTTGTACCATCATCGATTTAAGATTTTAAAACATGGTTTTGTTTGTTTTATTGATTGGGGTTTACGTCACACCGACACAGTATAGGTCATTTGGAGATGTTCCAGCTTTACTGGTGGAGAAAGACCTCAGGTGCCCTTCCGTCATTATTTCAGCCACGAATAGGCACCTGAGTAGAATCATCGACGTTCCATAAGCTAGCTGGATAGCTTCCTCACATGAAAAAATCCAAAGTCCCTGTCGGGACTCGAACCCACAGTGGTGAGGTTAAAACATGGTTAAAACACCTGTTAGTAATTTGTCTTTATATAAAGCATTGGTGTTAATATGTCGTCCCAAACGGCAAAACGGTATTTAAATATTTGCAGTTCACTTTGACTAAGTAAGTTCATGCACGTCAATGCTTACTTCAGTCGACCGTCCAACCCCGACTTAAAATGAATTCAGCACTTATCAAAATATTGTAACATCTTCGGATGTGATCCTAAAACAAGTCATCTTTAAACTTGCAATGAGACACTTTTGTACCATTTCATGGATCGGTTTGAATAAATCAGAATTCTTATTTGGGATCCGATGTTATTAATCTTACCTGTTGTCTGACAATATTAATCAATCTGTATTTGGCTCAAGAATCAATGTAATTAATATAGGCGTTTGTATATACTTAGGTTGTTATTTCCAAGAGAAAATCGGAAGAGCACACGAGGTCTTCCTCCACCAGTAAAGCTCGAACGTCGCCATATAACCTGTACTGTGTCGGTGTGACGTAAAACCCAGTTCAAACAAACAAACAAACAAAACAAGAGAAAATAAAGAGATATTTTTTTCAGAAAATTTGCTAAAATTTATACTTAAACCCTCTGGATAAGTCCCTATATGTGTCACAACGTGGCAAAATTGGAAATATAGCACGGTTGCCCTATTTGTTTGAGACTACTGGTCATGGACAAAGGTGTTAGATGCAAACAACCGTCAATGTATTCCTACCACCGCTTTAAATTTAAAATTCAGATATAAATATTATGATGTGCATTATATGAACATTTTCCCCTAGAAATATTGCTATACATGTTTTTTTTGTTGGACTTGTAAATCTTAAGAAACAACCACAAAAAAGGGCCAAACTAACTTTGATTTTAGGATCAAACATTTATAGCGATCAAAACTACGTTAATAAATTACGCTGCTCAATACGATCGAGAGGAAATTTTAAAGTATGATAATTATCATAAAAAACTGAAACAGGCAATAGGGCAAATTGATAAAATTCGCATTTCACCAAGCTGATAAAGCCATGTTCTCTAGGTACATCGCATTTCAATATCTTTACTCAGATTGAAACAGATCTCGAAGGTTGTATCTAATTCGATCAGGTAAAATTTCGTATTTTTATTGTACTATTTCTTTTCAGACTACAACCGATATGATTATTGCGTTTTCTTTTTATTCAATAAACAGTGTTGTTGATATCTGTTCCAAGTTATACCACATACTATTATTTCAAAGCAGCAGCAGTAAGTTTGTAATATATTTGTGCAAGTTAACTCCGTTTGAACACATCTGTAGATGTTTCAAAATTTTCAGTATTTATCATGTACGTTGTGTATTTTAATGAACGGAATTCTATTTCAACCAGGGCTGCATGTAGACGGTAGTTGACAATAGCCTTTGTCCGTCAATGCAGACTCTATCACACATGGCTTGCTACAGTTTGCTATGTTTGGCGTACATTTGAAATTTGAACATAATAGAATAAAGTATATCGGCACAATTTATTGTGGCCAGTGTGTACTTTAAAGGGTCAATCTTATTCATGTATTATACTTAATGTGTGTTTGAAGCTCCTGCTGAAAGGATGAAATTTTACGATTTGTCCATATTTTTTCCGTCCAAATTTATAATTGGTTGTAAATGATTGTTCACACAAGGAAGTCATTTCGAAATTCTGAAATTGTGACAAAAACTTCAATATAGGCCAATCTGTTTTCTAAAAATTTGACGAGGGAATGTTATCAGTAAGTGTGCGTAAACAAACAACTTACCTGCCGTATGCAGGCGATAATAATAGGTCGTTCTACAAAATTTACAATTTTTTATTGAATAAAGTCAGAAGAAGCATGGTGCTTCTATCATTTTTGTGTATGGAATGATGGCTTATATTTTAAACTAACCGAGACTCAAAATGGTGTTTTTGTGCATATATTTTGAATATTTGTTTCTTTTGTTTTACTTGAATTTTATCAAAGTTGTTATTTTAATAAATCTAAGACTTCTGTTAACCTTGGGTTAATGCAAAAGGTTAAACCGGTGATATAAGTCGATAATAGCCTCCTGATTGTCACATTTTGTGTTCCTTGATTATTTCGGGATTCAAATGTTTTTAACACCAAAAACATTAGTTATTGCAAAACAATCTGTTATTTATTGTCGAGGTTATCTCTCCGACCTTTATATAACTATTTTAGATAAAAGCTGAACAAATACTTTATTTAATAAAACATGTACAGATAAATTAAAAAAAATTGTTAAAATAAAATTGGAATGCGCGTTCACGTGTACATTGTGCTAACAAGTATTATCTAATCTTTTTTATTTCACAATCGGACCTTTTACCATTATAGTTATCATATCAATACTTTGTTAACTTATTGGCATAATTAGATAACTATTAAACACACTTGTTATCCCGTTGACACAGGTAACTTTTTATATAGTGGCCTATGTCGACGTTTTTCATTTTTATCACATTGTAGCCACGGTATAGCTAAAGTATTTCCACATGCCTCCCTTTGCTTCTGTAACAAGTTCGCGACCAGGAGATAAATGAACAGTTTGAACAGTTTATTGAAATGCTGGGCCTCTTAGAGGCAAGAGGCATCAGCCACATATACAATAAATATGCATAGATAGAATGTGAAATATCACAAAGAGTTCCACAAAATATACTAATGTACCATTTGGCATATATAAATCAAAACTGTGAAAATAAGCTTAGCTATCAGTTACTTAAGTGCTAATATAAGTTTTTACAGAATACTGCAAGTTTAACAATATACTCATATCTGTGCTATTCATTAGCATAGAAAACTTGATTGAATTGATATTAATACTATACTCTGTAGTAATATATTTTCTTCTATCAGTATTAAAGAATTGACAGTTAAATAAGTAATGGTATTAATCTCCAAGTGAGCTATTATTGCACAACTTTCATACTCTTAATTCTCTTGGTATATTAAAAATCTACCAGACTCAACAGGCAATTTATGATTCATACATCCAAAACGCATTAGTACTATAGCTAAATGAGATGGTAAAATATCTAAAAAAATTTCAAATCTGAATTCACTTTTGTACATTCAATAATTCAGACATTTACTTAATTCCGACATTTCACTATGCCAATATCGAATGAACTGGTCTTTTAGTCTATTTTTAACAATTTTCTTAAACAATGGAAGAGAAGTGGCATCATTATTAATCCAATAATTTGTTAAACCCAGTGAATCTAGTAATTTACCAACACTACGAATCCATGGGAGTTTTAACATATTTCTGCAATACAACGTGTGAAACATAAATATATAATATATAGCACATTGATTCTTGTTTGCTACTTAAAATCTTATTCCAAAAGAGCAGAACTTTACTCTTTATATGAATTAATAAAGGTAAAATTCCTAAATCTCGATAAAGCATACAATTTGGAATAATTAAATAGAGAAGCAAGAAAATCCCACATCACGGTAAAGTTAATCACAGTTATTATATTTCCGTTCCTTGAGGGTCGTTCAGCATCATATTATTGTTGTGTTTAGGGTACTTTTTGTTTTAACTGAATTAAAAACTAAAACAAAACTCTGACGTAAAATAATTGAAAGTTTGTAATTTTTTTTGCAAATGAAGGCTTTTTCAGGTACAGGTGATCATTATCCACTGAAATCTATTTGTTTTCTGACAATTTTGAACAATCAGTTTTTGGGTCTAGATTCTGTGATATTTATATCGGTGATTGTTTTTTTTTTTACTTTGATACTTGTTTTTAGGAGAAATATTGAGAGAACCAATCAAAATATATTTTGTTATATTGGTAAAATCTATTCTTAGCTATCTGAAAAAGTCCTTAAATGTCATCTTACATGACAAAGTTTGAAATATTGCAAGTTTGTTTGAGACGGTTCATAAACAACGATGTTAAATGCAAACGACCTGCAATTTTTAAACGTTTATTTTCATTTAAAATATTTCTATACACGTGTAAATGTCCAGAAACAAAAAATGAGGTCAAACTATGATTTTAGGGTTAAACATTTCAAATTGATAAAACCTTTTTATGTTCTGTATAATTATTATGCTTCTAAATACGACAGAGCATTTCATCAAGCTGATAAAAGCATGTAATCTATATACATCGCATTTCAATAACTTTACTCAGACGGAAACAGTTTCAAACTCAGTCCGGTGAAATTTCGTTTTTATTTGTTTGGGTCGTCAGACCAAACAAATAATGGTAGCGAAATTTCAGACCATGCTTATTTGCAAATTCCGCAAGCATTCCGTCACGAACTCCTCGAAGCGGTTACTTCCCTTTATAAGTACACTAACGCCGAAAAATTAAGGGGAGATCACTGCGTAAAGATTGTCAAATGACAGGCGCATTAATTTTCAAACCTTCTCAGGGAAGAAAAAATAGTTCCCGATTGGTCGAAGATTTCTAATATTGTGTAATTCTTTAACATTTCCGCAAATTACCGGTAATATATTCAAATAATTTTGTTACGCGGATGAATATCATTTTAATCAATGAAAATTGCTCGGCTTTTTCCGTAAAGCTTCGCATTATTGTGTGATCGCCTAAATGAACATTTGTTATTTAGACGTAAGGATGTTGACACTAGGACAAGAACGACTTTAGGCAGTCGACGAGCGATAATTAATTTCAATTTAATTCGAAATTAATAAGGATTACAAACCCTAATTTAGAATAATGTGCTTTGCTTCAGGCTTTGCTTCTTCTAACTTCCCCGTGGTCCAGGGGTTGCACGGTCCTTTTTAAAAGCGAGAGGACTGGGGTTCAAAACCCAGTTAAGGCAACTCATGTTGTTGTTTTTTTAATTGTTTAAGCAATAAAAACAAAAATAACATTGAATTGAATATCAGTGTTGCATTTAGCGTTATAGTCAATTTACATTATGACACTGGAAACAGCATTGCTGGCACTATACAAAAACAAATTGGTTTATAATCTCACAACCTTCACCTTTCTGACATTCTGATACCCAAACAAATTCAGCGCCTTCTGTGCTTTGATTTATTTTACTGATATTTTTTTCCAGACTATTATTGACATAATAACTGTATTTCTTTTTTTTAAATATTGGACAGTGTTGATGATATCTGTTCCGAATTAAACCACGTAACAGAAATGTGATTGTGGTATATTTGTATAAGTACACTCCGTTTGAAGACATCTGTACTGTAGATGTTTCAAATGTTTCGATTATATTATACCACGACATCATGTTCATTGTTTACATTGAAAAACGGATTTTTTTAAACCAGTGCGATATGTGGACGGTATTTGATATTTGCCTTTGTCAGTACCTACATTTAACCAAGTTTTTAAGAGCACTGATTGATTGCCAATATATGTTACATTTGCATTTCATTCAAATTAACCCTGTTGAGCTTTTTTACCCAGGGACATTTTGGAATAATTAAATTTTAAGAGGTCATTTGGTAATGAAAACTGATGGCTGAAGTGAAACCTATGTGAATACTGATGGCTGAAAATAACAAAGGGCAATAACTCAAAAATTATAATGGGAAGAGTTATCATTCTTGTGCACATTATTCCTCCTCAATAAGATCTGTCCACCTATGAAGTTTCATGTTGACATCTCAAAGACTTTTTGAGTTATGCCCCACTCAGGTGAAAAATTATATATGAAAAATAACAAAAGGTAATAACTCAAAACTTATGCACATCTCCTGAGTGAGATCTATCCATCTATGAAGTTTCGTGTTGATATCTCATAAGCTTTTTGAGTTATGCTCTGGACAAAAATTAAGTTTGAAAAATAACAAAGGGCAATAACTGAAAATTTATGCAGAGTAGAGTTATCAGTTTTGTGCACTGCACTCCTCCTCAATAATTATGATCTATCTACCTATGAAGTTTCAAGTTGATACCTCAAATACTTTTTGAGATATGCTCCGGACGGAAGGACGGACGGACGGAGACTATTTCTATATCCCCCGCCGCCTTTCGGCGAGGGATAATAATGCATACCAATGGTGTCAAAATTGGCTACAATTCCAAGAACTTAGATATTTATCAGTATGCATTGTCATGCAGACATCTACAAATAATTTTAAATTATAAACTTGGGGATAAATGACCAATACAAATGTGAACTCATTCATATTTTTTTTAACACTGAAAATAAAAAGTATGACATTTTTTAGCACTGTATCTCAGGTGAGCGATCCAGAGCGATTATGTCTAAATATTATGTTTTGACTTTGTAAGAAAGTTCCCGTACTCCCTCTGTGCTGTCATAGAATGTCGTTTATTATTTTTAATTTCTCATCGACTTTCAAATTTAACGAAAATAGCTAGCAATTTCTGTTCAAAGACTAGCAACATTTAATAAATTCTGACAAATTAAGGAAATACAAACAATAAAACTAAAGCATGAAAATAAGTGTAGTAGAATGCTATGTAAATAATTCACATCATTTAAATAAGATATCATTTGTAAATTAACTATAGTTCGTATAAATACATCTATATATATATATATAAAATTTCACTTTAGTGTCGTTACAACATTTATTACAGCATGCAGGATCTTTGAACAGTTTACGATGCAACCTTAATAATATCAGGTGGTTTAAATTCACAAAAAAAATCAGAAAAAAAACATCCAAAAAGCGAACAACACTTGGATACCTAAAGTTAAGCAATTTTGATACCGAAGTGCTTTATATATGTACATTTTAAAGAAATAGAATTGTTGTTACAGTTCATTAGTGGATTGCATAAACACAAATTTGAAAAAAGGAAACACGGGATCGCGATCGTTTAGAAAGCATGGCAGACAGTAGACGACGTCAAGTCAAGCGTCAAAATAGAATGTCCTCAGAAAGTGGTAACAAGAAGAGGAAGCTTACATCATCAAACAGGTAGCAATTTTATATTAACTTAAGCATTAATCCAATCTATTTTCTACCCAAAGGATAGTAATATACATAAACTGCTGCATTTTAGTAGACATAAGTGCTAAGAATGCGTATGCGTAAATATTCTAATTTATTTTCAGAAACTTTTACCAGAATCCGTATCTATACATTGCTCAATTTTATCAAAGTACTAATAAAAATCTAAAATTCTTAGGTCAACACTAGAAATTAGCGATAGTGACGAGGATATTATCGACAAAGAGAAGAATAGGAACGGTAATATAAAAGATTTTTATAACGATGATGATCGTGAGAAGTCGGATGATGCCGATAATGAAGATGGCGAGGGGGATAATGATGATCGTGAGAAGTCGGATGATGCCGATAATGAAGATGACGAGGAGGATTATGATGATCGTGAGAAGTCGGATGATGCCGATAATGAAGATGACGAGGAGGATAATGATGATCGTGAGAAGTCGGATGATGCCGATAATGAAGATGACGAGGAGGATAATGATGATCGAGAGAAGTCGGATGATGACGATAATGAAGATGACGAGGAGGATAATGATGATCGAGAGAAGTCGGATGATGCCGATAATGTAGATGACGATGAGGATAATGATGACGAGAAGTCGGATGATTCCGATAAGCTTCTAAAACGTTATATTTTATGGCATGCTATGAGAGCAGGTAGAAAACCATTAAAGAAATATCCGGGTACGAACACCATTTTTATACGATTTAAACTGCGCTTGTTTGTATTTTATTTTTAAACATAATATGAGTGCAGATAGCAACAGGTTTGAATCCATTATCCACTCTTTATCCCCTTCGGAAAAAGCAATCCTATTAGTGGTTTTAGTATCCCTGTAACGTAATGTTTTTGGCCTCTAAAGGGGGAAATAATAAAAGCAAGCAAATGAAAACGTATTAAGTTTCTAATGAAGCTGTTAAGGACAATTAAATAAACACTCATATAATTAGTCGACTTTAATATATATTATACAGATTTTTTTCACTCTTTTTGAAGGTACAAGCCGTAAATTTAAAATTTAACAATATAAAATACATCTCTTCCATGAGTTTAATCACTTTTATGCAAATGCATGTTAAGATCTTAAAAAAACATGTATTATTATATTCATTATAAATTATACTAGCAAATTAAATTGTCACAAAACTAAGTTTTAAAGAAATTGACATGTAGAATTTTGCATGGGAAACAGGGGAACATATCTTTAATATGATCACAGAATATAAGTTATTTTTCAGTAATTTCATTTCTGTAACCATAGTCGTCACACATTTTCACTGATGAAAACATTAATAAGCTAATCTTTATTTCCATATGGTCCTCAATCAAAATACAAAAATGCACTTAATACATGTATCATCAACTTTCCACTTTTTTAGTTATGCGATGTAAAATGTGTCATTTACAAAGCTTTTGTACTTTTTGAGTTATAATATGATACAGATTTATTTGGATAGACAGAATGACAGACAGATTAAAGTGATGTGCATAAACTTTTTATGACCCTTTACCCACGTACCAAGCATCATCAACCTAGTTTTTATACTTTGTTTAGTTACGGCAGGATCCAGATTACTTAAGATGGACAAAATGACAGACAGACAATTGGACAGACGGAATAGGCATGAATATTTGTCCACCTATCAACATGCTTAGTAACACCAACGAAGTTTTATACTCTCGAAAGAATTTCGGCGTATATTGTTATGCACCTGGATGTCCGTCCGTCCGTCTGTCTATCCGTCTGTCTGTTAGCAAGTTTTCGTGTCAAGTCTGTATCTTTTGAACGGATGGAAGAAAATTAAAACTACTTGGCAAAAATGTTAACCATAATGAGAAATGTACAGAGCAAAGGTTTAATCTTTCTTAGGTCAAGGTCAATGTCATATTGTATCAATATTAAACTTTTGTGTCTTCTCTGTATCTTTTGAACCAATTGAAAGAAAATATTTCATATTGCGTAAATATTACATTACTTATATTTAGAAGGTGTGCAGTGCTCCCTAAGATCAAAATTGTGGAAGGAAATTGAAACTACTTGCCAGAAATGTTAACCAAATGAGACGATGTGCAGAGCACAGGGTTGACCTTCCTCAGGTTAAGGTCAAGGTCTTACTTAGTCATTTTGAATCAATGTCAAAATATTGTGTGTGCTTTGTTTCGTTTAAATCGATGGTAGGCAATTAAATCTGTTTGGCAGAAATATTTTTATTACTGAGATGACGTACAAATGGCAGTTTTGGACAACCTCGGGTCAAGGTCAAGGTCACACTGGCGCCTTCAAAATTTTTATATAAGTGTATATATTACAAAGGGAGATTACAATAAATCTATTTTTTAATATGTTTCCTCCCAATATATATATATGTATGATAGCTCCCTTTATTTCTCAAAGTCTGTTACTTTATAATGTTGTTTTTTTTATCAAACTTTATAATTTCTAATTTTTTTCTGTTAAACTCATTATAATTGAGGATTTTATAGGTTTATATGATTTTATCATTTTAAAATAGGACAATCTTATTAATTGAAAATGATGATTTTTGAAATATGTAAATTCACTAAATAACAATAAGTTGTAAATGATCATATAAAATGTCCTTTTTAGGCAATTTATCAAAAATGAAATACGTAATAAGGACACGTTTTCATATGCCCAATTTTATTTTGCATGGAGCATGCCTTGCCGGCACCTACACAACTTGTATAAATCATGCTCCTGGGGTCAATATTGGCCTGCTGCAGGGGCCGAATAGATAAGAAAACTTATTTTCATGTAAGTTTTCTTATGTTAAGTTACAATATCCATATCCTAATTATTTGGAATGTATAATAAGATAGAAGAGCCCTGCAATTGTTCCAAAAATCGTTTCACTGATGTTAAAAAATTGCTGTATCAAGTAGGTTGTTGGGAGGGGGTGGGGGTAGGTCTCACACAGTTAACATGTACTCAGATTTATATTGTATACATGTTTTAAAAGTATTTTCCTTCAACTAACAACATGCAGAGTATCGATTTTTAGCATGTATAATCACTTTGTAAAAGTAGAATTATCAGTTTTACACAAATAATGAAATAAGATAGATGTTTATGTGGGTATTGATGTTATAAATGTAAAGGGAGGAAAAAAGAAGAAAATTATTTGTAACTTCATTAAGCATAGCATAGCTTTTTTATTTTTGATTAAATTTTAGGCATAATATATTGTGCTTTTGAATTTCTTGTGTAATATTATATTTATGTTTTTGTGAATTTTTAACATTTAAAAACCAACATTATTGTTTTTAGTCAGTATATATACTCTGTTACAATTGCATGGAGGTAAATAATCACCACTCTGTGCTTCGAAATTACCTTTTTAAGGGTATGATTGATAATTGTTTGGGGGTCTGTACTCCACAGCGAAACCTGTGGCATATATAATTGGCATTTAGAATACATGTGACTAAGAGCATAGCTCTTTGGCATGTTTAAGTATAGATCTTGATATTGATAATTTAAATAAAACATGTTTCGGACAAGTGTTAAAGATGGGCATCCACTCTGTTTAAAAATTATTTTTGATTACTTTAAATTTTATTTACTTATTACGATTTTGCAGTCGGGCGTATATTGCCACGCCTATGCTGTGCTCTTGTTTAGTAATTGCAAGATCTAATTTTCTTTAGATGCACAAACTGACAGACAGGAATATGGACGGACGGATGGATAAAAAGAAACAAGACATGCCCAGGGGCAGAATGCGATCCCGCTCGTCTTAATTCAAACCTGAACATATAAGTTTTGCGCAACACATCCTCTTGATACCACATGCAAAATCTTGACATTGAATAATCTAAGGTGACCTTGACCTCTGACCGGGTGGTTTATGTGCATGACACGAAGTCTCATGATAAACATGTGTGCCTAAAATTCAATTTATGTTATTTTAAAACTTTTTTATGCACAAAGAATTTATGACATGGACAAGTTTGGGTGCACACACACACACAAACAAACAAACATACACTGAACAGTCATTTTGACAAGTATGCCGAGCTCAGCGCAAACGGTTTCGACAAAAATCATTTGACCACTTAGCATAATACTTCAAAGTATAAGCAAGATACAGTGCAAACAAAACCAAAATTTAATATTTTTATTTAACCTTTGACCTCTTGTGAACTTTGACCTTCATTTTGCGTAAGACAACTCAACTTATCTTAGAATATTTGTTCGAAGTTATATAAAAATCCATCCATGTATATAGAAGTAATACTCACAAAGGAATGTTTTTATTTGTTATTTGACCTTTGACCTGCAGTAAGACTTTGACCTTTGCCACAGACATCTGAATTTTTTGCCCAACACTCCGCCTTTCTATGGAGAACATTTGTCCAAAGTTATATTACAATCCCGCCACACATGTAGAAGTTACGCTACAGACACATGTTTTTGACCGAACCCAAAGTGTGACCTTGTCCTTTGAGCAGCGGACCTGAGTTTTACGTGTAACACACTAACCAATCATGGTGAACATTTGTATCAAACTATTTTTTAATCCTTCAAAGAATGAGCAAGATATAGACAGGACAAATCTAGACGACCGCGCGGACTGACGGACGCATATACACCAAACTGCCAAAAGTGAAAAGCGGCGACTAACTGGACCTCACAAAACGCAGGCTTAACAATTTAAATCATTTGACCACCAAGCATAATACTTCAAAGCATAAGCAAGATACAGCGCCAACAAAAAAAATATATATGCTTATTTGACCTATGATCTTTTGTGATTCTCACCTTCATTTTCCGTGAGATAACTCAATTCAACATGGAGAACATTAGTGCTAAGTTATATTAAAATCCATCCATGTATATAGAAGTTATACTCGGAAATGAATGTTTTATTTTGTTATTTGAACTTTGTCTCCTAAGTGTGACTTTGACCTTTACCACATACTCTTGAATTTTACGCATGGCAAACCGCCTCACTATGAAGAACGTTTGTCCCGAGTTATATTAAATTTTTTCCACACAAATAAAGTTAAGCTCAAGACATGGATTTTGCGCTAATTTTGCCTTGGCCTTTTAGCAACAGGCCTGGGTTTTGTGTGCGACACACCACCCAATCATGGTGAACATTTGAACCAAATTATTTTGTAATCCTTCAAGGAATGAACAAGATATAGACCGGACAAATCCTGACGCACGGACTAACGGACTCATACACTGAACTATACGCCAAAAGTGACGACTTAGTCGAGCTCACTGCAAGCGGGCTCGACAATAAAATGTGCATAATTTCCATATTGTCCTCTATCAACAACCCAAGTATCATCAATGTAGCTTTTGTACTTTTTTAGTTATCATTGGACCCAGTTTTGTTCAATTTTCATTGTTTTTCATCATATCCATAACCATAGCAACCACTCTAACATAATTAAATCCACTTAGCTTTGGTATTTTTAAGTCTTGACTGGGTCCAGATTTCTTCGGAACGAACGAGGGGTTAAACCTGTTAAACAAGTAAGGGTTTAATAAAAACAACATCAAGTGGCCATAGTTATTACAAAAATAATCAAATTATATTTTCCATAAAATACGCGTGATAGTCTACTTGATAACAAATTGAAATCCCTCGAGGAATCCATTTTTTGTATAAACTACTATTTTTGTGATCGTGGAATAGATCTGTTGCCTAATTTTATAATTGTTTTGCTTTGTTTAAAGCTGAAAACGAATCGAAGTCTAAGTTGGACAGTGTACTTCATGATTTAATGGACATCTGCGAGAGTCGAGCATGGGACCCTGACTTCAGGGTGAGTTTCTTACATTTGTCATGGGTCGATTGATTTGTTATATTGTACGTTCATTTTGCTTTATACTTTATATCCGCGCATGCATTGATTGTCGTTTGTTCCGTGGCGTCTGTAATCGTCTAATTATATCATCTGGTGAAGTAATTCTAAATTGCTTCGTACTTTTCAAACGAATGACGCTGCCATCCCGAATGTAGGTTCGTGATACTCTTGAAATATCAGACAATATTTTCTTAAGTTTGTACCGCAGCGTTGTTACATCGTCTGTAAAGAATACATTACGGAATTTCTTGATTGGCGAGTCCTTCCGGAAACTTCTCGTATATATACAAAAGGTGCACATCTTGACGTGAGACAAAACGAACCATTACATGCTTTTCTTCCCATTTCTAGGGTTAGTGAAGTGGCATGCTGAAATATAATTTCTAAAAAATGAACCCTTGGAATCAATGTACAGTCTTGATCACTTAAAGCACAATCAGATACATTGGGTGAACATCATCAGTCAAATCTGTATTACTTTCACCTGTACCAAAATTAGTCAACGTTTTATCTCCTTTCTATGAACTATATGGTTAAAACAAATTCACAACAGCTGCAGTTAAATCAGTTAACTAGGGCTCTAATTAAAGCACATACATGCAATTTCAAATCCGTAGGTTTTCCTTTTTGGAATATTAATCCAAAACACCAATGCTTTACAAATTGCTCAAGACAATAGCTTTTTTTCTTGTTCAAGTCAACTACCTGAGCACTTTCTCTAACCAATTCCATCAGTGTTTCAAACTTTGGTTCCAACAGTGAAGCAGTTGCTTGAGCAATTAAGCCGTGTTTCTTCTGCTTAGTAGACCAATATCGTGCAAACAAGGCAGAAATACGGCATGAGGGCAGGCTGACAGTCATGCAATGTAGATTATATGAATATTACACCGGCTGCCGGAATAGTTCGGAATATCTAGCTCAAGGGTGACTGTTTACGGCGGTAACGAGGCTCTTATTCTTGCATATTACATATCAATTATTTTCAGAACAGAAATTATGAAAACTGATATTCTCATTACGCACTTTTTTCTTATAGTAGAGTATGATCTTACAACTGAATTCATAACGGTTAAGTACGTCATCATAAGAAGACAATTAATTCATAGAAGGCGCACGGCAATTACGTCATGTAAAGCACGCACGCGAATTGTCTTACATGGGGTGTAAGACAGGGTTTTCTAGCACCGGTGTAAATGGTAGATAGCAAGAAAACGTTCAAACATACTGTTAAAACATAAAAAAACTACATTGCTTCAGTAATATTACAAAAAAAAATCAAAACTGTGACATAAAAAAATGTCGACCGGAAAATCAAAAGTTTCTATGTTATTCCATTTATTTATTCCTGCGTTTATCAACCGGCTCTCCGAAATAATTTCACGTCCTGTATAGATGTAGGTCGATACTGAATATGCGAGGTGCACACTTATCTGGACCATATGCCGCTTTTTATGGCATGGCACTAATTTGTCACATTGAAGGTTCCATGATAACAGCCATATAAACACATCTGTGAATGTTTCTAAATTCTAATTTTTACCAGTTCATGTTAAATGTTCAGTTCTGCTTAAACCGCTGCTAGGGGGCGTGGACGCGGTAGCTTGCAATTACCACTACGGTCCATGAACAGGCTCAATCAAACTGAGCCTGCACCATTTTCAATTTTGCCGTGTTGGGCTGTCCATATTGTACTGGAAAATCTGTCTTGTAAAAGCATTCAAGTAAACAAATAGTAACATTTTCAGACGGTCTTTCATCTTTTGTATTTAAATTTTACAATACTTGGTCACATTTGATAATAATGAGATGTACTTTATTGACAGTTTGTCTTCTAAAAGAGAAATAGTATACAACTTGTATTATACGAGTATATATGTGAAACTTTGAGAGTCAGTAAGTCAAAGTTAACTGTATTTCGTATGCATGTTTATAAAGCTAAATTTACCATATTTCTCTTAATGATTGGCAAATCATCCCATTCTGTTTGAAAAGGAAATAGAACTTTGATTTTAATCATCAGTAAACAACTATATAATTATCATGTAACGATATATAATTCGAAATGCTTTATTTCCTGCCTTATTTAGAAGGACATAAAGAGATATCCAGTGTATGAATTTGAAAAACGTCCGAAAGAGGAGGCAAATATGTTCAAGAGAAAACGATCATCCAGGAACACAGGGCCACCAGAGTGTGGCAATTGTCAGGTAATATGTTAGAGGAGGGGAAAATAGTAAACATCTGGCAAATTTCCATATTTCTTTTCCAGACAAAAACTTGTATAAAATAAGCATTATTTGGACCTTAAGTAACAATGTGCGGCTACCATAGCCAAGAAGTAAAAGTCGCTCACTCAAATTAAATGTTTGCGATTTACCGTTCTGTTTCAAACTCAACCAGGAACAAACTTCAGAATGTTTCATTTGAGTTAAGCATCAAGCTAGCTTAATAAGTAACGACGATTTATTTCGGGCGCCCGCTTCATCATAAAATGATACACGCTGAGGCACTTAAGGTTTCACTCCACCAGTAAATCATGAAAGTTACAGTACGTTGAAGTTACGCTAAGGCCATAAACAAGTTCAATCACACGAGTTTTACCATACTGCACAACTTATACAGCTTCTATTTAATTAAGTATGCTTTTACATATTCCATATATGCGAATACCATTTTATTACTTTTCCACCAGTAAGCATGCGATTGAATTGTAATTTAATTCATATGTAGATATTAAATGTTCCTTTTCATTTAATTTAAATATATAGGTATGCATACGTCCATGGTCATATATAGTTACACTAGAAGGAGCACCGTATCACAGAGATTCTTATAGAGAGGTAATCGTTTTCCTTATATTTTGTACAAAGCAGAAGATGTTTGATAAGATTCAAGCCATATTAAAATCATGTTAAGTAAGAAGTAAAACATCAAGTATTCAGAGATGATATAAAAGTACTGTTCAATATTCTGTCTATATATTAGCTTTTGTATATTATGGTTGATTACCTCGCTTTATTTGCGCCTGAATCCTGAACTCTGTGTGAAACTTTTGCCAGAGAGCAAACAATCCGATTGAAAATCGTATAGAAAAGTTGAATTATGATATAACTTGCCATTATCTCATTCACACGATAAAATTGATTTGATAAAATTGATACATAGATTAAACCAGAAATTTGCGTCATATAAGTGACTTTACAGATTTTGAAATTTTCTTTTTATTCTCAGAAAATCAATAAAAATGGCACATCAAATGTACACTCAGGGCCTGTCGAGTATTACATGGGAAGTGCGTGCTTTAAAAGGACCTTGCTATTTCATGACATCTGCCATTTTGGGTTTCATCTTTATAGACAATGCAAGAAATTGGTAAAGTAGACTTTAATTTTGTGTTTCGTGTTCTTAATCTATCAATAATTTGTCACATTCCTGCTTATGCTTTTATCGTATTCTTTAAAACGATAAACCTAACGGAAGGATAAACAAAGTATTATAACAAATATCAATTAAAACTGAATAAAACATGTCCCGTTTGTATGTTCAGTTTGTGTCTGTTGCAGCCTCTATGGCACATTTTGACTGAAACATTAACGCATCTTCATATGTTATATTCGCAGAAATAGGAAGCTTTACCCTGTCTGATTGTACTCATGTGCAATGCCTACCTATCTATTTGTGTTGTAATAGAATTTTGATGGTTTATCAACGTGTCAATTTGTTTGTCGTTATCTATATTTATCAACATTAACTTTACAAAATTACATCACATAAGTTATCTAGAATTTTATTATCACTGTTTACTAAACCTAAATGAACTTATAATTATGATAAAGTCATTTGACCCTCATTGCTGTAAGTAATTCCCGCTTTCAAAGTAAAGAATGAAGGATTTCTTAACTATGTTTTCTTTTAGCTGTTTCGTAATATTTTAGATTAAGAGGATGGGTGAGAACAAAGTTAAAGAAGTGGCTAATGATAAAGACTTGTTCATTAAGGTAACAGTGGATTATTCAATACTAGTATTAATATGACTTAGGTTATGTATTGTTACATGGTCAAACATAGTCGTTCAAAGTAACATACCTTGTGGGTAATTAGTGACATCCGTTTTTACTCCAGCTTACAGGCAATTGCACTCACGAATACAGCTAAACCTATTTAGCTACGATGGTCTATGTTTCATACTTAGCTACCGTCCAGAAAAATATCTTAGTTACAGAGAGTGATGTAAATTATGTTTCCTAACCACAATTTGGGGAGTTACTCTCTGAATGTTATGTGGGATTAAATTGTCATGCATCATGATTTGTATGGCTTGTAAAATATAAAGGCTCATCTTTAACACCGTTTGCAAATTTATTCTTGATACATGTATATAGTACATGCAGTGTTGACCTATGACATCAAGTCATGGAGTTGGAGTTGAATGACGGCACACATCAACAAACCGATTTCAATTAATATTTTACAAGCAAATTTCCTTATTTTAAAAACAATTTAAAAAAGAATTACGGCTTAGTAAAGCGCATTATTTTCTCTTTATTTTGTTCAACATCCGGACCGCGGTTATGTAGCGATGCAAAAATTCAGCTTCATGCGAGGCATTCTTAATCTATGCCATTTTATTGCTTTAATCGGCACCCTTTTGTTTTTTTTGTGATTTTGGAGGTACATAAACTGGAACAAGATTTGCATGTAAATGAAATTAAAGTTCATGTATGTTGTGATTGAGGTTATATACCACACTTAAGTGAAATGTATATAATTATGCTTATAAAACAATTTTTAAACATCGAAGAATATGTAAAATATGTACTGTAAATATTTGTACATATTATATGTAATCATTAGAATATATGCATTCATATCTTATTGACTTAGACTTTTACCTCCCTTTATTTAAATGAAAAGTTAAATTCGGTACCATCTTTATAAATAATGCTTTTTGGAACTTGATAAATCTTAATTTGAGCATCATATTTATGATATAAAACCATAAAAAATTTGTGTTTCATAATCTTTAAGTTCACAACCCTCTGATCGGAACAGAAATGGTTTATGATTTAGTGTGAAACTCGAAAAATTAGTGAAGCATTTTTCACATTTTCATTCCGAAATTATCTGATCTACTAGCAGTTAGTATTTCACAACTTACGAAATATAACCAATGAACCTTCAACGTTTGCATCAAGTGGTTTTTCGATATAAAGTATTATTGAACCCAATCTTAAATATTTAGTCACATTATCATTAACCGTGTCCAAAACATCCATATTGAAGGGAAATTATACTCTGTCTAGCCTCATTTTCATTTTTGAACCCAAATACTGATCTGCAAAACCTACATCAGACTCGGCTAGTGTTTCGTTCAATATAAGTTAATAGCTGTTCATTCGTTCAATGGAATCCTTTTGTTGTACTCAACAATGTATAAAAACCTCAAAGTAATATGAAATTTTGCATTAAGATAAATGTCTTACAGGATTATATACATGTATTACCAGGTTATTATACATTGTTTAGAACAATACTGAATTCTATTTGAAGAGTACAATATTTTCAAACCTTTATTGGATGAGACATCAGTCAAGTCTGATAAATGGGTAGGTGGCTGTATAAAGTCCAATAGAGAAGTTTTCTCAACAATGTTTAATGACCTCTTTATTTCACATTATTTTACATTTTGACAGAACTTTATTATTTCAGGTACATTAAGAAGTCAATTTTTTAGACACTGAATATGGAAATAATGCTATATGGAGAATGATATGCATTTTATAAAGATATTATGTACTCTGAAAATAAACGTGGCTAAATGAGGTACGAAATGCATCTGATATAGATATTTTGGGGCTAAAGTCCAATAATCATTTTCATTGCAATGTTACGTGGTTCAAACTCGGAAAGTTCATTAGTTACATTTTATAGTATGTCACATATAGATACGAGTATATCATCAATCATTGTTTGTTACAAAACTGAATTCTGTTGAACGAGTACACAACTTGCAAATCTATATTACAAGAGGCGCTAGCCGACTCTTATATATTTTTTTGCAATTGTTTATGACTCTAAAGGAATCGGTATTGTATTCAACATTTTACGATGACCTCTTATTTCAAACCCCCATTTTTGGACATTTTGACAGAACTTGTAGTACAATTGCGACTTGGTACGGATTTTTTGACTCTGGAAATAAAAACGAGGCTAAATGAAATACAATAGAGATTTGATATTGCTTTGATACTCTGGAAATGAAAACGAAGCCATGTAGAATACAATAGGGATTTGTTATGGATGTTGTGGTCACAAAGCTAAATTCATAAGATTATACTGAAAAAAGATTTACATTTGGCGATCACGTGTTGCGAATTAATATTATTATTATATACCAAACTTGTTAAGCACTTTTTCATGCACATTGACACGTTCAAAAGAAGTGTACAGTATAACCAAATAAATGATACAATATTTAAAAAAAATCCCATTTTAGCATTGAATTGGCATATTGGTGTCAGGATAAAGGATCAGTATTGCATTCAATAAAGTATTATGACCTCTTTATTTCAAACAAACCTTTTTTGGACATTTTGAGAGAATTTTCTTACTTGTAGTACAATTGCGACTTGATATCTGGAAATGAAAACGAGGCTTAACGATATACAAAGTGATTTGGTTTGGGTGTTTGTTACTCTGGAAATAAAACAAAGCTATATAGAGTACAAAAGTGCTTTGTTATGGACTTTGTGGACTCTTTAATTAAAAAATCGAGGCTAAATTAATGAGATTATAATCAAAAGTGATTAATATTTGGCAATCACATGGTGCAAATGCTGATTTTAGCTTGGAATAGGTAAAACCTCTGTATCTTTAAAATTGACTTTTCGTACGAGTATTCTGATAAATATTTTCGAAAAGGAATATGGTTGCTACAGTAAAAACCTAGTGGAATATGATAATGGTTTTGACCATTAATGACTTGTAAATCTTAAGATGATAGACCCCTAAGTGAAAATTTTGGCATCTTTTACAAAGGTTAAAAAGAAAAATTTAGCTAATTAATGAGAATCATGATTGATACAAAATTGTTGAGAAGAAATTGGGGTTCACCCTCCTTTTTTAGTTATCTGCTCCTGAATGTGAGGTTTTCTTATCTTCTGGGTTATTTTCAAAGGTAGACGACTCAAACCTGTGCCAAGCAACACCTCCTTCGACGTCAGATTTGTGTTTGATAGTTAATTCCCGATCGATCATAGTGCAAAATTTGCTGCAATAATATGCGATAGATTATATTCAAAAGTTGCTTAATTTAAGTAAAAGAAAATTTCTTTGAGTTATGCAAGAAACAGGGGCAAAAAACTCAACATATTAAGAACTGCTCAAAACTTCTTCACCATTTCTGTTCCAATCAGAGTGTTCATAAAACGCCATTTCAGTTAACATGCAAGTTTTTACAAGTTTTTGTACCTCCGTAAGGGGCATCCGTGGCATACTGGTTAAGGTCGTTGTCTTAAAACAACTTGCCTCTCACATCGTTTAGTTCGAGCCGAGCAAGCGTTTTCTGATTCTTTTATGTGGGAAAAGCTATCCAGCTAATAAATGAGAACAAAGATCAAAAAGGCAAAGTCAACGGTCATAGGATGAAACGTCTGTGGTTACTCATAATGAAATTACGGACAAAAGGGCACCTGAGGTCTCCCCCACCAGGACAAATGAAAAGTCGCCTTATGAAATATACAGTGCTGGTGCGATGTGAAAACCAATAAAAGCGGGAAGACCGATTAAAGCAATTAAATGAGGTTCACCAAATCACCATTTTCAGTTGCATTTCCGCATAGATATAACACAGCAGTTCGAATGTTCGAGAAAAAAAATGCGTCTTATTAAGATTGAACCAATAATTAATACCCGAGGAGCAAAATGTGCATTTTGTACTGCTTCAATTCGTTATCAAATTAATTTTGAAATAAGAGAACTAGATTGGAATCGGGTTGTTTAGGTGTGCCGTTACTCAGCAATACCATATGTAAATCCGCAAGGCACGTGGGATGGCCATCTTAGCATTGATGCCTATCTAACACACTTGTTTTCAATCTTCAAACCTGATGCAACCATTCCTATTTGTATCCATTTCGCTGTTCGTTAGAGAAAATGATAAAGAAAAGCAGCTTGTCTTAAAAGATAAGCATGGTTGTAAGTTAATTAGAATTTTTTTCACGCAATATCACGGCATAATGAAAGTGACTCCCTTTCTATTTCATACAGTGTCTCGTTAATATATATTATATGTTACATATAATCTATATTTGCTTAACCCTTTACCTTATATAGACGTGTTTTGACGGCTTTTCGACCCCCCCTTTTGAGGCCTCAAACAGTGAAAAACTACCCTATTTAGGCCTCAAACATTGTTTTTCGTTTGAGAAATGTTGTTAAAAAAGTGCCCCCCTCTGTTTGGGAGTTTGAATGGGGCGGCAGTCCCCCTGATCGGTAACGTGTAACCAACGCTGAAAAGCCTTTAACTCTATCTCAATCAATTGAGAAGTTGCAGTACTTTGAAATCAGTTTTGATGGAAAAAACAATGCAAAAAAGTGATTTTTGGCAATTTTGAGACGTCCCCCCGTTGCCATGGAAACATGAAAAGTTAAGATTGAGCATGCTGTTACAGAGGCTATGGTCCAGTGAACATTTGTGCCAAGTTTCATCAGTGTTTAAGCAGTTTTCATAGTTTCATAGCAGTTTGAACTTGTAACAGGAGGCTTTATAATGAAAACGGCCATTTTTTCACAAGGTAATGAGGTAAAGTGTTAATAACGTGTATTGTTATAACATAGTTATACACGAGGGACATCTGGAAACGAATGATAGTTAATTAATAACTTTTGATGGAAAAAAAACCATAAAGCCACACCACTTGGCACGTAACTAAATTAACTATTTTTGTGTTAGCGCACTCGTTAAGTAACACCGGGACGATACGTCATTTTCGGTGAC